ACTAACCTTGCTTGAGGCGTGGGGGACAGGAAGGCGGGTGGGGAGACGGTTATTGCTTGGAGGGAGAGTCCCCCTCCCTACAGGAAGCCACGACCACTTTTGTCAGCAGAGAAAATGGCTGCAGATCCTGTTCATCACCCGATGCGGAGTTCACGAACGGAAGCAAAATTTTGCGAGCGGTGCTGTTCGTGACCCGAATTGGTCGTGAACAGAAGCATTCGTGACCTGAGGTACCACTGTACTAAACTGCAGCTCCTATTATATAGCAATAAACAAAATTCAAACAACTTGAGAAATGAGCTGGTGTTGAACTGCAGATCTAGGGCAGTGTTTCTCAACCTTGGCAACTTGAAGATGTGTGGATTTCAATTCTCAGAATTCCCCAGCCAGCCATGCTGGCTGGAGAATTCTGAAAATTGGACAACCAAACTGGCTGTCATTGTTTTATCTAGCCAGCTTGAAATACTATATATATGAAATATGTATATTTCATTTTTTGCTGAGTAATTCAAGTTATTGTTATTGTTGTGTAGCTGTATTACAGTATGTTTTCAGATTATTCTCCTGATAATTTGCATTTCTACTCTTTTTGTTTTTGTTTACTGAGTGCCACAAAATAGGGATGTAAAAAATTCCCCCTCTGGATCATATCTTTCCAGTAGTGGTTTGGCAATTACCAGAAATAAAGCTTCTGAACTGGAAGTTTGGATGTCTTAGTCACGGTGCCAGAATTGACAAATTTTGCACATCTTCCCAAGTAGTATCTTTGTATAGTCTCTTGTTGATTATAACACCTTCAGAAACTGTTATGGCTCTGTCATTAAGTATGCTTCTATTTCAATTACTGGCATTTGTTTCCAAAAATTCCAGTTCCTTCTTTATATTACTTGCAGCCCAGTATTCCTTTAAGTTGGTGGGATTTTTTATTTATTTATTTATTTTTGGTGCCTTCGAGTCAGTGTTGACTCCTGGCAATTGCCTGGACAAGTCCCTGCAGTTTTCTAGGCAAGATTTCAGAAGTGGTTAGCCATTGCCTGCTTCCTAGGGCTGAGACAGAGGGACTGGCCCAAGGTCACCCAGTTGGCTTCATGCCTAAGGCAGGACTACAGCTCATGATCTCCCAGTTTCTAGCCTGGTACCTTAACCATTACACCAAATTGGGTCTCTCCTTTCTAGTATATGGGCAGGTAAATAAGTTTGTTTAATAAAATGATAATAAAATATGAGTGTACATGCTTTGAACGTGTTTTGGAAGTGCTGCAGACTTTGAGCAAGCAGAGCACTTCTCTGCTATTCCTTACAGCAGCTCAACTTTCCAGGTTCCTTCTCTGCTTTAAAGAATCCATTCATTACTGTAAATCTAAAATGATTCTTAAAGCACTTTTTTCAGGCTTGGATAAAAGTGGGGCCCAACACACTGATAAGAAGCATTCTTGAAGCATTACAATACTGCACCCCATCATATATGTTCTCTTTTAATCCCCTTTACCTCCTTTACTTTCTCAATGTTCCAGGGATTAAAATGGCAGGAAAAGAGTTTCTGGATCTTCCTGTGGAGAAAAAATTCAATAATGCGGGAAGAGTCCCAGCAGCAGTCTGGGAAAAGAAGTTTGAAAAGCTTGCCCCAAAAGATCAGTGAGTAAAAACACTTTGCAAATATCTGAATATTTAAGTCTTTCCTTTTGACAGTTCCCATTTTCAAGGCAATCAAGAATCTGCACCCTGATATGCAGTGTACATAGTTTATTGAGAAAGGATATCTTCTGAGCCTCCAGAATACAGCAGAAAATACTGCATGAAGATCAGAATTCAAACTTATTGCCTGTGTTTGCCTATCTTACTTTCTGGGTTCACACAATATATTTAACAGACACAATCCCTAATCAGAGTTAAAGCCAACCAAGTGTAGTATGTTCTGCAAATGAAGCAGTCTAAGTGACCTAGTTAAGCACCTTGGTTGAACACAGTGAAGGTGTGACTTCTATGAGGCATCTGCTTTGATTCCCCAAGTCTTAAAAATGGGGAGTCTTAATCAGGCCTGCATAACTATGGAAAGGAAAGGGCCACATTGATACATTAAAATAATCAAGGGACACAAAGGAATAGCTGGTGCAACAATCAGCTGTTTGGTGGCTAGCTGTGCCATGAGGCCTGGAGGCACTTGGCAGCGTGTCTTCCAGGATGGCTGTGATGGATTTGTTGAGCTTTCAAAAAACACTGGCAGACCTGTGGAGTCCTTGGGGTTCTCTGAGCTTGGCTGTTTTCTTGCAAACATTTCGTTACCCGGCTAGGTAACATCTTCAGT